TATTTTATTTTGTTTTTATAACTATATAAATATAAGCTTCACTTTCCCCGTGACCAAAAAACAGCATTATATGTGGAACAGGAAAAATTAATTATAGATAAAAGTATGAAAATTAATTGTCACGTGATACACACCATCAACATTTATGAAATAAAACCATCGCTGCAAAAATTTAAGCTTTGATTTTCTTCTTTAAACACCTGCAGCAGCTTTTGGACTGAACGCGTGCAAGCCCACCAATAGCTCCAGTACCAATGCATGCATGCTTTATAAATTCCTTCTCTTTTCATATATATTTTTTTAATTAAAAAAATTAATTCATATTTTTTAATTGCACATATTTAGTCCAATTAATAAATTTTAATTATTATATATATTTTTTAATTAAATCAATATATTAATAAATTAAATATAAAATTTTATTAAATCAAACATTATGAATTTATAGTAATATTTTGTATATTTTGAAAGGATGTAGTAATATATAGTTTGATATTATATTAAAACTATAATATAAATCAGTGGTAAGTTGAGGTACCTTTTATTATTTATAACTTTTGAGAAAGTTGCCCAAACTTTTTATAGTTCATTAACTATAGAATAACAAATTTGGTAATCTTTAATTATTTTTATTTTTATTTTAAAAAAAAATAGTTCAATTTAATTATTTTAACATATTATTTCATTTCATTTATAATTTTTAAAATTTTTATTTTTATTTTTATTTTATTCTATTAAAATTTTAAAGCTTTTGTAATTAAAGATAAATTTTGAAATAATTATTGATTTCTTCAATACATATATATGCTAAATATGATTTTATTTTTATTTTTATAGAACTTTAATCATATCCTAAATCTGTCATCCATTCATCATGAAAAGTAAAAGTAATAACCAAAGTGGCTAAGTGTAATACAATAAATTTGTGAATGATAACATTGGTTATAGAAATGGAGAGCATATCTATGTTCTCACATATATATATATATATATATATATGAAGATACACATAAGGGTAGAATTATATGAACCACAAAGACAAAAACCATTAAAAAAATAATACACGAAATTTATTAAATAGCATAGCATATAAATATAAGATAAAGATTTAGTTGCCTTAGCTGGGCAATATTTTTGTGAGTTCTATGCTCGGCAAAAACACACACACATATATATACACACATATTATATCATCAGCATTATGTAGTGCTCACAGAATTATGTTTGAAAAATATAATATAATGTCAAATGCCCTCTACATGCAATAAAGTACCTAATATTTTTTAACTGATAATAATTGTAAACAAAAAGTAGCCAATTAAGTTGGTGAGTCATGGTTTGGTATCTTAAAACTTGAACTTTTCCATATTTTCAAAGTGCCAAATTTTTATTAAATTCATACTTTGTTTTAGTGGAGACCCAGATGATGAGAGGCAGAATCTGAAAAAGAACCATCTGTAAATATTATATATATATATATATATATATATATGTATATGTATTTATGTATAATTATTATTATAATCCCACCCTAAAACAATTCGACCATACCATATCCTATAAATAGTCAAAGTTTTTTTTTTTTTTTTTTTTTTAATATTTATATTACATGTCCCCTATAAGTGAAACCTCATATTGGAAGAACAAAACACCATAGCTGTAAATATAATTATTATATATAAACATACACACGTACACAAGCAAGGAGGCAACCCATAGCTGCTTGTAAATAATAATAATTAATAATTATGTAATTATGAATATTTTAATAATTCCTAATAAATGAAATGGGAATTAAATAAATAACATGCACTAATTTTTCTCTTATTTCAAACTCCATTATTTCAATAATTAACGGTTCAAAGGTCTCCGTATGCTTAAACACATGTATAGGAATATATATATATATATATATATACACAATAATTAAACGTGTACGTATAATATATATGTGTGTGTATATACGCAAAGTATAAATATATATGTATGTGTATTTTTTTTTTTTAGTGTGGATATGGAGAGGGAAGGATGTAGATCTAACACGTATTGAAAGTGTGGTTATGGCATTCCAATATATGGGAATAGGATAAGCATAGATCTCAAAGAAAATCATTTTAAAAATGATAGCTTTGCATACATATACGTACATTATAATACTCTCATATAATACAATATAATATAATACACATGCATACGCATATAAATATAAATATATATATGTATATATACAAAGCATGTAGTACCAGACATTCAGATTTAATAATACATGTTCTATTCTTTTATTTGGACCATTAATCATTAATGTAGCTAATTTATACGTTAATGGAATTCTGTAAACTAAAATACATTATGCATATAAAAGACAAGACTATCAACTAAAAAAGAAGACTGAAATAGACTTGTATCTAACTATATAATTATTGCATATTGTCAATATTAAAAATAAATTTAATTTTATAAATTTTTGCCTGGTGAATTTCTTAAATTTCTTACCCTTTTTTTTTTCTGAGTAGGGTGAATTTCTTATGGTAAATATATGTGTATATATATATTTACAGATACAAATATGCATATTTACTGGCAAGTTTGCCAACAATTATCTTCCCTGTCATTTCTTAAAAAGTTTAAGCCGACAGTGTACTGTAATTTTCACTTCATCCTTTCTAAAAACAAAATGTAGGAGTTTCTTTATGCCTTCCTTTTTAAAATTCCCCTTTTCTTTTCATACATATTTCTAATTTTTTATTTCACCCAAAATTACAAAATTTACCTCGTAAAATTCAACTTTTTTTTTTTTTTACCGCGAATGATTTATTCATGATACGATTTACTAATCCCGCTAAATTAGATTTAACCGAGGTAACAAACTGCCAAAACTTTACCCAACCCCACAGTCATCAGCTTCAGGCCTCACCTTCCCCCACCATTACTCCTTTTCTTCCTTTTCTCTTCTTTATCTTCACCAGCACCCACCATCATCCCCTACCTCCTTCTCATCACAGACGAAACCTATTGACACCAAAAACCCTTCTCACCAATGGTTGCCAACCCGCCATTCTTTCTTTTCTTCTTCTTCTTCTTCTCGGGTCTTTTACCTGCATTCTTTACTATTCCCAACCCGGACCCGGCGGCAATACAGCCATTTTTGATAAACTCAGCTCCACCTGCAACCATTCCTGCATTCCCAGAACAATCCAATGTCGTCGGTTGTCCACTAGACCTCCCCGAGCAACTATTCCACGGTGTAAAGTCCGCTTGCGGTGTCCCCAAAGGTGGTGACCCCACCGGCGAGCTCCACCGCATCCGTTGCTGCCCGGTCTTAGCGGCTTGGCTTTATTCTGCCTACTCAGCCACCGCGCTGGGTAGGACCGGCGGCAGAGTGGTTCCGGTGGTGGCGGGTCGTACGCCGTCGTATGATATGCCGCTTTTGCCGGATGATTCGGAGACTTGCGTGGATGATTTGGGGAAAGCTCTGAGACAGAGAGGGATAGAGTTGGTTAAGCCTAATGAGACCTGTGATGTGGTGTACTGTTATTGTGGGATTAGATTGCACCCATTGACCTGTCCTGATGCTTTTTCAGTCAATGAAGATGGGAAGCTTGAAGGGGATGATAGTGTGAAGAGATTAGAGAGAAATTGTCTCAGTAGCAGCACCAATGTGAATGGGTTCCCTGGTCTTGGTGGGTGCTCCAAGTGCTTGAACAGTCTCTATCTGGTAATTCTCTCCTTCTCTCTGTCTTTTCTCTTTAATTCCTCAAATTGATTGTTTGATTTCATTTTTTCTGCTTTTGGGTCTGTTTCAATTTGCTGTCTGATGGGTATTGAGGGAAAATGGAGGAGGAGGAAGCAGATGATTAGGGATTGCTCTGCTTCTTCCATGACTGGTAAATTGGGAAAGTCACTTTCTTTTTGCTTTTTCCAGTTCATGGACTAGCCATTGAAGCTAGGGAACATCACACTTTTCACTTTTTCCTCTTTCTTTTCTTGTTTTAGCAGATTCAGAAAGCTAACTTAACAATGAAGGGAAAATGCGAAGTGCTCTGTCTAGCACTTGACAAAATATTCTGATTTGCTCAAAACATAGCCTAATACTTACAAATAAGTGTATTTTGCTTAATCAAACTAACTTTTTTGTACTTAAATACCAGTAGTTTATTTCCATTAAGACATCTAGCTTCTGCCGTCCAACTAGATGTTTAATGCATGTCTGGTATATATAAATATCTCCTCATGATATTGTTCTGCCAATGGGAGACAATAGAGAGTGTAATGTGTCTTAGAAACTTGTCAGTTGAGATGCAAATGTTTTTCTTTATTGTTTCAACTTGTGAAACTTTAATTAATCACTCTAATGGATACATTTCGTTTCTTTTCTTTTTTCCTTCAATTACTTGATCCTGTAATTAATTTACTCTCTAGGCAATTTCTTCTGGATGAATTGCACAACTGGTGCAGCTCAGTAGCATGTAAAAAATCATGCATATTTTTGCAAGTTCTTCATGAAGTTATGACCCACTTATTCATCATCATAATCAAAATCATAATCATCATCATCACTATGTCTAGTTTTACTGAGTTTTTCCTTTAGATTTGATATGGGTTTAACATAATCGTAATCATAATCATCATCATCACTGTCTGGTCTCACTGAGTTTTTCCTTTAGATTTGATATGGGTTTAACGCATGAACCAGATTAAAGTACTGAATTAACGCATGAACCAGATTAAAGTACTGAATGCAAGTTATTCATGAAGCTATGACCCACTTGTTCATCATCATAATCATAATCGTAATCATAATCATCATCATCACTATGTCAAGTGTTGCTAAGTTTTTGCTTTAGATTTGATATGGGTTTACCACATGAACCAGATTAAAGTACTGAACTCACCAGATTGGACATGTTTGGTTGAGAAGTGCTTATGACTTTAAAGAATTTAAATGCAGTTTGGAGCGTACCTTGATTAGATATTACACCAACTTAAGTACCAAATGAAAGTAATACACATACCAAACTCTTTGTTTATCCAACTGTAATCATGTACAAGCTTTTAGTACTCTTGGTTTTTTAATTGAGCAATTAAATTCTTGTTGCAGCTTAACAAAAAGAAAGCTTCGAATTCAAGCAAAAAAACAGAGGACAGAGCCACCAAAATGCACAACAAAGATTGTCAACTAATGGGTCTCACATGGCTCCTAGCCAAGAACAGGACTGCATATATTCACACTGTTTCGTCAGTGTTACGAGCTATTATGATGAGCAAGGATGGTTCTCATCTGCAATCCTGTGCTCTCAGCAGCGATGGAATGCCACTCGCTGTTGATTCTTCCGAAATCTCCGATCAATCATTCTCAATCACTCTTCGTTCACCTAGTGTTTTCTTAGTTTTCTTGCTACTGCTTGTTACACATGCATCATGTTTGCTTTATCTGAACACTTTTAGCTAGAGTTCCACTGGCCTCATATTTAGTAGAAGAATCTTAACCGTACCAGTGTTTGTACTCTGCCTATGTCTTTGTATTATGACATCCCAAGTGATTTTTTTATATGCATCTCCCTAAAATTCTTACTGTCATGTTAGGGCAAGTTAAATTTATATATCATCCGTTGAAAATTGGAATTCCTTAATAATCTTTATATATTCATACATATCATAATTAATTAATGAATATGCATATATTATAACACAATCCTGTAACAAAAATATACAAGAGTAATTTAAATTTATAGTTTAGCCAATGACTTACTAATATTCACATGAATACTTTGTTGATAGTATTTTGAGTAGAAATATATATATATATATACATCTATTTTATTAATCAAGTGATATTCATATATTTATTATATAACATAATTTTTAATGAAAATACATAAGAATGTATAAATTATATAATACATATACTCATTATAAAATCCATACATTTTATAATTAATTAATATACATATATCTATCATAACATAATTCTTTAACAAAAATATACAGAGTACTTAAAACTTATTATTTAGTTAATGATTTACTAACTATTCACCTGAAAATTTTATTAATAATCTATAAAAATATACATTTTTTACTAATTATATTGACACATATATATTTATTATAATATAATTTTTTAATAAAAACACACAAAAATATATAATTTATTTCGAATTCAAAATTTCTTACAAGTTAGATAAATAAAAAATTGTGAACAAATGTTGAGGAGCCGGTTGGAATTTGGAGAAACATGTGGCATGGGGACTGGTGCTTTGTCATGGAAAGACAAAGAGTCACAAGTGTAGTGGCATTATATTGAAGAAGCAGTGCATGACAGTTGTATGTATGTATATATGTATGTATGTATGTATGTATGTACGTAAGTCAGTCAAATTTTCACAAGAATATCTTCAGACTTCATACCCTCTTTTGGTTCTTGTATCAAGTAGATTGGGTAAGTTTTGTTTCTAATAATCCCAGCTGAATTCTTGATTCCCAGAACGATGTATTATTCTTGAATAATTATCATTATTAATTTAAGTATTATGTATACATGTACATATAATAAAAAAAATTATGCCATTTAAATAAAAATTAATTTACAATAATACCCTTTTAATATAAACGTAAGTACAAAACATCTTCCTATTTTGTTTTATCACAAAAATATTACTTTAGTTAATAATTTGTTAATTAACTATTTAAAAAGTTAATAGTCTCATAATCATGTCTAATGATAATTACATTCAGATAAATGTACGCTGTTAAATTTTTTTAAAACATAAAGTTAATAAAATATTAATATGAATAATATTTTTATTATGAAATGTAAATATTTCTTTTTTTTTTTTTTTTAAAAAAAAGGAAATTACAGTGGGCTGGATTATGGTCTTTACACGGCCCAAAACGATCATCCCACATCCCAATAACTCAAATGCTGTTGAAAAAAAGAATTAAATAAAAGGAAAAATAAAAACCCAAATGTAAATATTTCTATTTCGATTGGAAATTGAATAATTATCTAAACCCTCCTCTAATCCTACCAGGAGTCAGAAAAAGATAACCTATAAATATAAACCTTTCTGCCACTACCACCTCCAATCCATCACTTCCTTTCCTACTAATTTCTCTAATCGTCTCTAAAACTCTCCCTCTCCATCTCCATCTCCATCTCATTCTCCCTCTGTTTCTGATCTCAAGAACACCACCCTCTGCAAATCAACTCTGTATCATGAACCTCTCAAGGTTTTTCTCCCATGCCGGTATCCAAACAAAACCGGGTCCGACCCGTGACTCCGGGACTCCCTTACTCGACCCACTTTTATTGGGGGTCAGCGACGAGAATGGAGATCGGGTTCTTGAAGTTCGAGCGAATTGTTTAGCGATTTACGTGGGGTTAGAGCGGAAAAGATATGAAGTTCCGGTGAAGTATCTGTCATTCCCTGCAATTCGAGATATGATCAAGCGGTCGATCGGCGGTGATGATCGGGCTGAAATCAAGATCGACGGCCCCATTATTCTTCCATGCACGCCCACGTACTTTGATCGGTTACTGAAGATGGCGGAAGAAAACGACGACGTAGATAGAAATTATTCTTGTACGAGTTTGATTCCAGCTTTTCTCTCGAGGTTTTGGACTTGATAGATACGGCCCATTTGCAGCCCAGCCCAGCCCGAATTTAATTTAATTTAATTTTTTTTATAATTTCACATTTTCAATTGAGTAGCCTGTGAAACTGGTACATTACTAGTACATTTTAATAAATTTATTAAATGATAATTTAAATTGATTAAATAAAAATTTATTGAACGAAAATTTACAAAACAATTATATTATATTTTTATGTACTAATTATATAGAATAATTTCTATAATTAACATTATTCTTTGGGAGGTTGGATTGATATTAGAAAATTTTGACTGTCCACTATTTATTTTATTATTTACATTTATAAAAGAAATTAACAAACATAATGTAAATAAACATATGTTATGATTATTTTTTAAATTAGAATGTACTTAAGTCTTCTCATTTTACTTATTTGTTCTCGTACTAGGGTTAACTACTAGTTAATTGTTCTCATACTTCACATAAATATCTTTTTGTCGGTTTCATTCCTCTACAAATATAGGTATGTGTGCGAGTGGGGGGTACGAGCGGGCACGTGAATATCTCTACGTCCGTTATGTTTATAAGTTTTTTATTTTCTTTCAGTTAAGTTAATTATATACGGACAAGTTTAATAGTAACAGTAGACAAAACAGTTACGTGAAATTAGATTTTTATATTTTATTTAATTTTTAGTATTTATTAATATACGTAAATTAAGTGTATCAAGTTTAACGTTTACGAAAATAGTCGTTTCTGTTATATTTGTTTCTTTCTTGTTTATTTTATATGTATTTGGATATTTTCGATATAATGTTTATTACATTAACTTCTTTTCCTGATACTAATTACTATTATTTTTAAAAGGAATTAAATCATCTTAGTTACCCTGTTATGTATTGTAAGTAGTGTATCTTTTTTACCTTTCAAATTTAATTATATCACATTTCTCACAAGATTTTTATATCATTATATTATAAAAGATATTCTTTAAGAATTGAAATATTCAATTTACTTTGTTGTCTACCAATTCAATATATTTCTTTTAGTTTTTTAATCTCAAACATTTTAGTATCAAATATACTCTCTCAAATTTGGATTTCTAAAATCGTCATATAATATATTGTTTTAACATATATCTCTATACGATTCTATTTACCAATAATTTTATTTCCTTACTAGAATTCTATATCAACTTAGCAACAGAAATGACTTTAACGGTAATAAAACTTAATAAATTTTATTTGCAAAACTTTCTAATTAAAGATTATCAAAATTAAATATCTAAAACGTTATTTTAAAAAGTCCTCAAGATTGTAAATTTTTTGACTCATGATGCTAAGGATTGCGTAGGTTAAAACAAGAACAAACCCAAAGGGCTAGCAAAAGCAATGGACTTGGTTCTCTTTTTACCATTAGTATTTTTTTCTCTCAAATTGGAAGAATTACAAATGTTATAGTAGGGAGAAAAATGAAGAGCTAACATTCAAGATTCCATTTATTTTGTACTAAAAATTATGAAATTTCTATTTTTTTTTTCCCTTTTCCATCTTCTTTTATCCAAACGTATTCTAGAATATTGAATTAAAACAATTTCTCTCTCGATTTGAGGATTATGGACTTTAATTTTTCATATTGGACTTATTCGATTAGTTGGTTAATTATTTTATCTGAGTTAATTAAGCATTCGAAAGCATTGACCTCCTTCTAAACTCCTATTAATTCTCGTCTTGACGCTTCCATAAAAAATTAATATATCTGTTTTAAAGTTTCGTAACTTATGTATTCCGTAGCTTTGTGTTTACTTGCACAATTGTTGATGATTCTTATCGAGTCATGCATTTTGGTAAAAGAAATAGAGTTTCCTTTGACTAGAAATGTCATGCTTGAGAATAAAACAACACAAAAAGAAATAACTTCTTATGTACTAGTTATATAAAAGTCTAAAATGATTAATAAAAATTTATGGCATGAAAATTTACCAAACCATTATGTTATATATAGAACAATTTTTATAATTTAACATTATTCTTTTGGAGCTTGGATTGATATTAGGAAATTTGACTATCCATTATTTATTTTATGTTTTTCATTTCATGTGTCAAAGAAATTAATGAACATAATGTAAATAAATATATATTGTAATAATCTTTTAAATTACAATAATATACTTAAATGTGTGTCATTCTACTTAATTGTTCTCATACTTGAGGGTTTATCTACTAATTATTTTTCTCCTACTTCGCATAAATATCTTTTTGTCGGTTTCATCCGTTTATATATATAGGTATCTGTGCGCGCTGGGATGCGAGCAGGCACGTGAATATCCATGTATCCGTTATGTTTATGAGTTTTGTTTCTCTCGATCAGGCTAATTGTATATAGGCAAGTTTAATAATAACGTTAGACAAAATAATTATGTGAAATTATATTTTTATATTTCATTTAGTTTTTAATTTAAAATTTAAGATATTTAATATATCACATCAATCAATCGTACGAGACTTAAACACTTACACAAACAATCGTTTCCTTTATATATATTTCTCTCTTGTTTATTCTATCTACATTTAGAAGTTTTACATATAATATTTAATATATTAACTTCGTTTCATGATATTAATTAATATTATTTAAAAGAAACTTAAATTAATTTATTTACCTTGGTATCTAATATAAGCAGTATATCTTCTTTTACTTTTCAAATGTAAGTACATCAAATTTTTTCTAGGTTTTTGCATCATTATATTATTAATCATATTCTTTAAGAATTGAACTACCCAATTTACTTTGTTCTCGGCTAATTCAATATATTTTCTTCTACGTCTTTAATCTCAAACATATCATACTCTTTAAGATTTGAATTACTAGAATCACCTTCTACTATATCTATTTAACATATTTATCTATACATTTTTATTCACCAATAATTTTACTTTCAATTCTCACTAAAATTTTATATTAACATGGAGATGAAAATGATTTTTAATGGTAGTAAAACTTGGTAAATTTCATTTGTAAAACTTGTAATTAAAAATGAAAAATCCTCAAATTGTAAACTTTTAACTCATAAAATTAAGGATTGCATAGGTTAAAATAGGAACAAACTCAGTGGGCAAGTAAAAGCAATGAACTTGGTGTATCGTGTGAATTCTCATATATTATATCACATTTTCACCTTCTCATTTTACCACTAAAATTGTTTCTTTATTTTTTCTCTCAAATTGGAAGAATTATAAATGTTATACTAGGGAGAGAAATAAAGAGCTATAGATTCAAGATTCCATTTCTTTTCTCCTAGAAATTATGAAACTTCCAATTTTTCTTCATTTTCCATCTTCCTTTATTCAAACATGTTCTATAATATCGATTTGAAGTAATTTTTTTTTTATATCCTAAAATTTAAAATAATCAATAATTATATCAATTTGACGTGTTCAGAATCGACAATTAAAAAAATAATTCTTTTAGTTACCTCAATTTTATGTTTCTCTTTTATATCGAGAGAATCTTTACTGACAATTTCTTTCTATATGTGTCTTCATAGGATTATTAATCACACCCACACATACACTACTAAATCACTTAGATTAAGAAAACAAAAGCCAGATTAAGGCAAGTATTAGTGACTAAGATGAGATTAACTAGTTTATAGTCCATCTTACACTACACGTTAACTTAACCATAAATCACTGATTTTTACTATTAATTTTTTTTTTCTCTCAAATTGGAATAATTGCAAATGTTATATTAGGGAGAGAAATAAAGAGTTATAGATTCAAGATTCCATTTCTTTTCTCATAGAAATTATGAGCTTTCTAATTTTTCTTTTTTTCCC